CTGGAAGGAGCTTAGTGCTCCGCCGTGTGCACGTCGGGGGGCGGGGCCTTCCAGGCAGAGGGACCTGCGTGCAAAGCCCCGACGTGAGGTTCCCGGGGCCTGGTGAATCCAGAGAGGCAGCTGGGGCAGGGCGTGTGGGCCTTGGATGGCACAGCCGGTGACAACAGCTGGCTGCTCCCGTGGGACACCGTGGGGGTTGGCACCGTGGGGGTTGGTGGAGGGCTTCAGCCGGGGAAGGATACAATTTGGGGTGCGTTTTAAGATCGTGCAACTGCAGAGAGGCCTGGGTAGTGCAAGCTAACGGGTTGGCAGTTCGAACCCAACCAGAAGCTCTGTGGAGAAGGTCCCGGCAGTCCGGTTCTGGGCTCCCCCCCCCCCAGAAGACCCCGTGGAGCTGTCCCACTCTGTCACGTGGGCTTGCGATGACTCGGAATTGATGGCAGTGGGTTTGTGGTCGCCAGTGTTGAGAACCGGCAGGGCGGTGGTGGCCGTTGGCCAGCACTGTAACTCCAGCCCGAGGTGAGGGCGGCAGGGAGCAGGCAGGAGCAGCCCCCACCCTTGGGCTCCGCGGGGTGGTGGAGGCCGAGGGCACAAGGAGGAGTGGCTGGGGTCCAGAGGGCTTCCGGGGCACCGCCCTCACCGGGCGCCCCCTGCTCCTCGCAGGCATGGCCGCCTTCGCCGCAGCCCATCTCCTCTACCTGATGGTCCTCGGACTCTCCCCGCTGCGGCCGGCCACGCTGCTGCCCGTTGCCCTGGCCTGCGGCCCGTACTGTGGCCTGCTGCTGCCACACTTGCCCCCAGACATGGTCCTGCCCGTGGCGGCCTACGCCATCTTGCTGGCCGCCATGCTGTGGCGTGGCCTAGTCCGGGGCGGCAGTGCCGGCCTGGGGGCCCTGCTCTTCACGGTCTCGGACTCCGTGCTGGCCTGGGACACCTTCTCGCAGCCCCTGCCCAATGCCCGCCTGGTGGTCATGACCACCTACTATGCAGCTCAGGCCCTCCTCGCTCTGTCAGCCATCAGAGGCCCGAGATGCAAAACGAACTGACCGGGGGTCTGGGTGTCCACACCCCTCCCTGGCTGCCGGGGGCGCGCTCAGGCCTCCCAGACCTCCAGTCCCAAGTGGACCTCCATGGAGTGTGCTTCCGGCCTCCCGTCTGGGGTGCGGCAGGCTCAGGACATCGGGGCCACCCGCACGGTTCCCCTTCTGCCACGGAGCTCCAGAAATCTGCCCTGGGTTCCGAGTCCAAGCCTGTCACCCGGACCCACGGTTGCCTTCCCCGTCCCCCTGCCCCTTCCTGTGCTACTAATCTCTATTGTCATCTCCTAAGTAAACTGGGCATTGAAATGGCGGTGTCTTGTTATTTTGGGACGGGTGTAGGGGCAAGGATGGTCAATGGCCAAGCAAGCCCAACCCAGCCCACTGCCGTGGAGTCCATTCCTACTCACAGCGCCCCTAGAGGACAGAGTGGAACTGCCCCACAGGGTCTCCCAGGCTGTCAATCTTCCCAGAAGCAAAGCCCCAACCACACCCACTGCTGTTGGGTGGATTCCCAGCCAGCTGCCCTCTGAGTGTGATATGATAATTAATGGCAACAGATACCTATTAAGGGCCCACTCTGACCCAGGCCCAGTGCCCAGGACTCACAGAACGTCTGACAGTTCTCCCATGGCTCTGTGGCGTGCAGATTCGTGACCCCCTTACAGAGCTGAGGCCCCAGGAGACCAGTCACATCAAGGGAGGCAAGGGTTAGGGAGGGGCCCTGGAGGAGGGAGGGCTGGGACGCAAGGCCGTGCCTCGGCTGGTGGTCCTCGGCCAGCTGCGTCCAGCCTCTGAGACCCGAGGGAGCAGGACTGACCTGTACAAAAGCCCTGCGTGGCTTGCACCGCGCATCACAGCCCACGATGGGCATGTGGGGACTCTTCCTTTGTGAAAGTTTTTATTGTGATTTGGGTGAATGTTTACAGAGCGAATTCACTTTCCACACACAGCTCACATACGCTCTGTCTCATGACACCGACTGCAATTTCCCACAAGGCGGCAGTTCCCCTCCCACTTCCTCCCCATAGTTTCCTCTTCCCTGTGTCCTTCCCTCCCCGGTGCTCTTGCCCCCCGAGCTGTCTCCCTGTGCACACACTGCCCTTCTGTTCTCCCATGATGGATCTCTCCAAGGAGTGCATCTACCTGATGAAAATGTTCAGCCTGTCTCTTGTTTGGCTGGAAGCCACAGGAGTGGGTTCCATTCCAGACCTGAAGGGCAGCTAGGGGCCATAATTTCGGGTTCCACCAGGCTCTATCAAACCAGCAAAACTGGTCTTTTTTTTTTTAATAATTTTGAGTTTTGTTCCACACTGTTCTCCCACTCTGTCCAGGATCTCCTACATGGATCGCCTTAGGGACTCTTATGACAGAGAGGAGACATCTACGTCCTGGGCTGTGCGTTTAGGGACCTGTAACAGCAGTTACTGGGTGGTGTGGTGCCTCACACCCTTGGCTGCTAACTGAAAGGTTGGTGGTTGAAGTCAACCCAGAGAGAGGAGGGCTTGGGGAATCGGGATTCCTGGGCTCCGAGAAATGAGTCGGGGGTCCCCAGGGCTGAGGGACAAGGGACAGGAGGACTGGACTCCTGGGGTGAGGGGGGAGGGGCTGGGGGTCAGCACTCCTGGGTCTGAGGGGGGAGGGGCTGGGGGTCAGCACTCCTGGGTCTGAGGGGGGAGGGGCTGGGGGTCAGCACTCCTGGGTCCACGGGAGGAGGGCGGTCGGGACTCCGAGGGGGAGGGACCTGGCCAGCAGGGCTTTTCCTGGGGTGAAGCCCCAGGACCTCCACGCTCGCACCATCCTGTCTGCATCCAGCCCTTGTACAGGCCTGGGCTGATTGGTCATCGGTGGGTGTCAAGAGCGGAACTCCGCCAGGGGCCTGTGTTCCTCCTGCCCTCGCTGTGCTGGGAGGAGCTGGCCCTGGGTGCCCCGCAGTGGTCCCTATTCTTTCTCAGGCCGGTGGCTTCTAGCAATGAGTGGAGGGGGTCTCAGTGACACCCTAGACCCTGGCCCGCCTCCCAGACCCCATCAGAGTCAGACTCCCTACTGCTCTCTCCCCGGGCCACCTGGACCAGGGTGGCCGCTGCGACCAGTGATCGACCCCCACGGGGAAGCACAAGGAAGGGGTGGGCAGGATCCTGGCTCCTGCCTACATGGGACCCCCATCTCGCAGCCCTCAGCCCAGTCAGAAACCTGAGCGTGGAGGCTCAGACCACCAGCTCCATCACCCTGCACTGGGTGGCCTCTGGGGGCCCTGACCCCTGAACCTACCTCTACTGGGTCCAGTGCGCTGGGATAGGTGTGGCCAGCAGGCAGAAATTACCTCCCTCTGGAACTGCCACTCCTCGGAAGGAAGGTTGGGCAATCCTACTTCCGTAGTGATACTGCCTCGGAAACCCAAGGAGGGGTGGCTATGAGTCGGGGCCGACTTGATGGCACATAACAACAACAACAACAACAACTGGAACTGAACCCACTCCTGTGGCTTCCAGCCAAACAATAGACAGGCGTGTAGGGTGAACATTTACATCAGGTAGATACACTCCGTGGAGTGATCAATCAGTCACTCAATTGTGGGAGAAGAGAAGCCCTGTGTCAACTTGGCTGGACCACATTTCTGTGTGGTTTAAGCAGTCGTGACGTGGGTTATTCCCATGATGACATCAGATATGTATATGTTTTGAACAGCCAATCCATTGAAAGGGAGTTTCCCTAGGGGTGTGGTCTGCTTCCAATATATTTATGGACATCCTGGGAAAAGAGACATTTCTGTGGATCGGGATCCTGTTGTGCTGCCTATAACTGTGAGTGAACAATCCACCATTCAGCCTGGAGATCTTGGATTCATCATTCGTTGGAGTCAACAGCCATTATACTGCCTGCCAACCTTGAGCTCGTCAGCCCCTGCAGCTGCGTGAGTTGGGAAAAGCCTCCAGCTTGACGTGTGATCCAAGAACTTGGGACTTGCCAGCTCCTGTAAGTATGTGAGCCATTTTCCTGAGATAACTTTCTCTCTCTCTCTCTCTCTGTATATAACCTTTACTGGTTTTGCTCCTCTAGAGAACCCAGCCTAACACATGCAGTGTTTGCACAGGGAGATAGATTGGGAGAGGGGCAGGAGTCCATGGGAAGGAAGGACACAGGGGAGGTAACTATGGGGAGGGAGTGGGAGGAGAGCTGGGCTGGTACCAGGTAAATTGTGGGGATTGCAGTCAATGTCATGAGACAAAATGGGTATGAACTGCTGTATGGAAAATGAATTTGCTCTATAAACTTTCACCCAAATTGCAATAAAAAATTCATATATATATATATATATATACACACATACACATACACATACACACACACTCTAAAAAAAAAAGTACCTCACACAGCCAGTCACAGCTGAGGGCCTCCAGCCTGGGACCTCTACCCCTTCTCTGTGTGGGTGGAAAATGAAGCTAGGGGTTCCCTGGGAGCCTTGGGGTGTTCCCAGGAGAGGGGACCACCTGTGTACTTGCCAAAGGGGCAAGGAGGCTGCATCTTCTGACCTCCCATAACCCCACAAGAGGAAGACAGAATGACCATCAGTAGCCCAAGGCCTATCCCTGCGAGGCCAGACTTGCTGCCTCCCTCCAGCCCTTTCACCAACCCTGACGCCAACTGTTGCTCCCGCAGCACCCACCACCTTTCTGCTGGGTTTGATAATTCGCTGCAGTGGCCACATAGAACTCACAGATTGTGGAGTTTATTAGGGAAGCACCAGGCTACAATTCAAGTTCAGGAAAAAAGCTCAGTCTCTCTCAGCCCGCCATCTCTCAGCCAACAGTCTCTCTCAGTCTCTCTCCCAGCAGTGCGTGTGTCTCTCAGAGTTTACCTCTGAGCAATGAGTGTCTCTCAGTGTCTTGGGTGCACGTGACTCTCAGGCGTGTATTTCTCTCAGCAGTACGTCTTTCTCAGCCAGCAGTCAGAGAGATTTCTTCTGCCTCTAGGAGGGCTCTTTTTGAACCTGGCAGAGTGGCCAAACTAGCCAATCCCAACATCAGAATTCTATATACCTGAGAGAGAGCAAACTTCCCAGAAAGTTACTTGGTGCTGCTCCCAACAGAAATACCCTGGGTGAATAACTTTAACAATCAGGAGCTACTCAGTTGCTCACGGAAAATTCCACCACGGAGTTTACACAGACTTATGGCTAGAAAAGCCACACTATGTAGTTCCCTACACCGCAGTACTGCATGGTGCTTTGTGTGTGTGTAAGCACTGCATCGCACCCTGACCCCTCCGGATTCTGGAGCTTGGCTGCAGATGGTTCTCCTTAGCCACCAGGGCCACGCAAGTCTGACGTCCCCCAAAGCTGTCCACATCGCAGTCCCCAGAACCTGGGACTATATCACCTTGTTATTATTGATTTAATTTCTTGTTAACATACCAGGAGAAAGTGCAGCAATTCAGCGGCTTTTGCACATACAGCTCAGTGGCAGTGGTGACTTTTCACACTGTCACCGTCCTCACCCTCCTTTCTGACTTGTTTCTACCCCCATCACAGACACTCACTGCCTCTCGGCTTCCTGTCTAATCTTTTGAGTTCTGGTTCACAGTTTGGTCCCCTATAAAGCACAGGGCTCAAGACAGATGTTGTTCACTAGTTAAGCTAAACTATTGTTTGGTTTTGAGGATGTGGAACAGGGTATATCATTACTGATGTCAGATAGATCTTGGGCCAGTGCCAGCATCCCCAGTGGGACCAGAAATATGTCCCAGATAGTGGTTGTGATGCAGGCCCTGGAGTCACCAGGTGGGCTGAGAGGGACAGAGTCCAAGATGACAGCCAGTCCCTTCACATGTCCACAAATATGGTGTAGTGCATTAATATGGTCCATCTAACCACAGTCTTTGTGACTCCCACCAAATGACTGGGAGGGACTATGTAAATGAGGTGCTTGTGGTCCACCAAGGGATTGGATAGCTTGCTAATAATGCAGATAGGGTGCATGGCACCTTTGTGGAGGTGGGACCATGCAAAT